CTGCTCCTGGTGTCTGGGTGTGTCTGGGAACGCTGGCACGTGTCCACATGGGGGCAGATTCGGCCCCACAGACCACGGACAGCATGGGGTCATTTTGGATTCCCAAAGGGAAAGGTCCAACGTGGCTGGCTAGTCTTTGAACATTAAAAAATAGCAACAGAAATAATAATAATAATAATAAAGAAACCAAAAAGAACAAAAATCAAACTTCTGCAGAGATGCTCAGAGATGAGATATGTAGAATGATATGTGACCACAATGGAGGGGGGTAGTTTTATTTCATAGAAGGTCCATCTCCAAACACACACACAGATGTGACTGAGCAGGATTCACCCCTGGGCTCAGTGTGGTACCTTAACAAACATACCCCCACCTCCTCTCCTTAGTATGTGGAGAGAATTACTCCCCAGCAGCAGAGAGAAACAGCTGGCTTTTCATGAGAACTGTAGAAATGCCACTCAGCCAACTGACCAGTAGGAGGCTGGGGCATTTGGGAGGTCCTGCCAGGCTGACTGAGTCCAAATTTATTCACGTTCTGGGGCTGGGGAGTCTGGGAGTGGCCCATTCCTCCCATTCTACTTTGCTGTGTGACTCATGCCTGGTTCACAGTGGATGCCTCCAGCCTAGTGGGCTGATGCTTATAGCGGAAACATGAGTCGCTGTTGGAGCATGACCTCCAAGACATGGAGGCTCTGTGCGAATCTGTGACATGCACTGCGCAGCCAGGGGGTATCACCCCGCCTGGGAACAAGCACCTACGAAGCTGAATGCGTGTTGGGCATGTCATGGCTTGGCCCTGTTCAGAGATGCATGTCAGGTGCTGTACTAGATACCAGGACCACAGCGCCTCCCAGAACGTCTCATCAGCCCCAGAAAATAGCCAACAAATACAGTTTTTCCACTCCATGGGCAACAGTGTGACTTATGTTTGCCCATCATGTCAGCAGAATGCTCAGGAGAACCACAAGCGGGCTGCTGTCTTAACAGGGGCACTTAAATGAAAGCGAAGCCAACTATGTGCTGAAGGGTGGAGGCGGGGCGTGGAGTTACAATGCAGGAGTAGGTGGTGATTTTAACAATCTGATGCAAGTTCTAGAAGGTCTTACAAATCTTCCTCTGCTACATCATTTTTAGGTAAGGAAAGAAAACGCAACAAGTAGCAGATAGGCAGAAACTTCTCTGCAAACCTAGCAGAATGCTTTCTTATAGCATTTACAAAAAGAGCTCTCAAATAATTTTTTGCGGCGATTAAAAAGGGGGCAAGCTCCTTCCTTAGTGGCATAAAAGCATCCGTGAATGGTAAAATGCTTGGAGGTAAAGCTTTCTCCAATTGCAAAACCTTCCTCTTCCACACAGAATGCTCACTCTGTGGCTGTGGCCGGGGTGGTCCTGGCGGGTTCTTCCAAAGGGGGCACTAATCATTCTCATAGGAACTGGGCTTTGAAGCAAATTTAATTTTTTGTTTTCAAGTTCCTAACAGAGCAAAAGAAGAGTCACTGCAGAGAAAAGCAACGAGACAAAGGTGTAAGATGCAGAGGAGCTGCCCAAGGTCGCTGCAGGTGTCAAACAATGGGTCCCCAGAGAGAATGTGGTTGTTTAAAAACAAATGTGGCAGTGGGGATGTCCCATTGACGTCCAAGGTGACATGTGTGACGACAGACACAGGGAAGGGAGGGGGAAGAAGGAAAGAGAAGGCAGAGACAGAAACAGAGGGGAAAAAAATAGATAAAAAGAAAAAAAAATTAGGTCAAATACAGAAAATGTAAGAATCCTATAGGTTAATTTAATTTAGTAAATTAAATCGACAAAGGTTAGAGGAGAGTTCAGTGCGGTATCAATACCATAAGGCCAGTTCAGAAGCTCAGCAATGCCAGAAGCAGCACAGCAGGGTTAATCTGGAGGTTAGGGGTCAGCGAGCAAATGAAATTAAAGTGAGAGAACAGAAGCCTCCACAGTAAAATACAAGAGTTGGATTAGGAGAGTGTTACCTTTCACTAAGGCAAAAAGGCTCTGAGGTACGTCAACGAGCCTACCCATAGTCTTCCAGTCTCTGAGCAGGGTTTTTTACAAGTGGTGGTAGAGATGCATTTGATCACTGCACTACATGAGAGCAAATCACGTGTAAGGGTAGGGGACAGCCTTTTCAGAGATAAATTGGACTTTTCATCCTATTGCGCAGTTCCCGTCCACAGTACTACGGAACAGCTAGCTCTGTGCCCTTCACCTTCTACCATCTTGCTGACCACAGAACTCCACCATAAACAAACTTGTGCAATTCAGAGGCTTTGTTCCCAGATCCCAATACAATGGCCAGGAAAGTCCAACCAAGCACAGAGCCACTCTGGGCACCTTCTAAGAACTAGGTAGTAGAGCCATGGAGGCATTGTGGGCCAGGTGAGCATCCCCTCCAACGCTCTCTCGGTCCACTGGGTACCTGGGTCCTAACAAGAAGGACTCTGACATTGCCAGCAGGTATGGCAATGGAGGACAAGGTCTCCCCAGATTCCTGACTCTGATACACATCTCCTTCCCTGTTCTCCAAACCCCAGAAGTTGATGCTGCTGGTGGTACCCAGCATGGGTACACAGAATGCCCTGCAGGCCTGCCTGCCTATCGAGTCTTACCCCAGGGAACAAATGCAGTGAGAAATCTGTCTTGCCAAAAGTTAAGAAGTTTCCTGAATACAACCAAACACTTTGAGGGACAGAGTAGCAGGGGTGGGGGTCTAGGGACCATTTCAGGGGACATCTAGGTCAACTGGCATAACAAAGTTTATTAAGAAAATGTTCTGCTTCCCATTTGGTGAGTGGCGTCTGCGGTCTTAAAAGCTAGCGAGCAGCCATCTAAGATGCATCAATTGGTCCCAACCTACCTGGAGCAAAGAAGAATGAAGAACACCAAAGTATCACACAAGGAAAACATTAGCCCAAGAGACAAAAGGGCCACATAAACCAGAGTCTCCACCCACCTGAGATCAGAAGAACTAGATGGTGCCCGGCTACCACCAATAACCGCCCTGATAGGGAACACAACAAAGAGTCCCTG